GTGCCTGCCACCATGCCTGGCTAATTTTTGTATTTTTAGTATATACAGGGTTTCACCATATTGGTCAGGCTGGTCTCGAACTCCTGACCTCAGGCAATCCTTCTGCCTCAGCCTCCCAAAGTGCTGGGATTACAGGCGTAAGCCATGGTGCCCGGCCTACAGTCAGCCTTCTATCCTGTACATGTGCAGCTAACTATTTTAAAAGACTTAAATAGGTAATAGTCTTTTTTTTTTTGAAACAGGGTCTCCATCAACCAGGCTAGAGTGCAATGGTGCAATCACGGCCCCCTGCAGCCTGGATCTCCAAGGCTCAAGAGATCCTCTTAATCGCAGCCTCCCAAGTAGCTGAGATTACAGGCGTGCATCATGCCCAGCTAATTCTTGTTTTTTTTTTTTTTTTTTAATAGAGACAGGGTCCCACTATGTTATGTTGCCCAGGCTGATCTCAAATTCCTGGGCTCAGGCAATCCTCCTGCCTTGCCCACCCAAAGTGCTGGGATTACATGTGTGGGCCATCAAACCCAGGCTAATGTACTCCTCTTAAGTTAAAAATTAAATAAGGCTTTTAGTATGCTAGCTCTAAAACTATAATATTTTTCTTTACATTATGAATTTACCAGTACTAAAGTAAAGAATAAGATGAGTGAAAGGAGTTAGTGTTTAACTGGACTAAAGAACATTAATTACCCTGAGTTTTCCTTGAGTAGACAGGTCTCTAATTGCTACCTGTCTTATTATAGTTGAATGATGAAATATATAGACATTTGAACAAAATTAAGATCTAAGTTTAACTTGATATTTTCCTCACTCTCTAAAATTAGGCAAACTTTCTCAAGCATTGTATTCTATAGTAACACAAGAAAACAACTGATGAGGGTGCAATAAAGCCTAATGACATTCCACTCTGAGGTTCTCCTTTCGCACAAACTGGTAAACAGAGAATGCTGGCAATTATAATTCAACAATCCTTGGGTATAATTCTAACAAGAGTTCTAAACATAGATTAAAAAGTCATAAATCTTGTTTTTATACGTCTACATTTAAATTTATAGCAAACACATTTATAATGTGCCTTCTTATGGCCACATTACACATACGTGCCTTTTAGCATTACAGCTACTTACACCAGTACTGCTCTATCACCCAGGCTGGAATGCAGTGGCGTGCTATCGGCTCATTGCAACCTCCGCCTCCCAGGTTCAAGTGATTCTCCTGCCTCAGCCTCCCAAGTAGCTGGGATTACAGGTGTGCACCACCATACCCAGCTAATTTTTGTACTTTTAGGAGAGACAAGGTTTCACCATGTTAGTCAGGCTGGTCTTGAACTCCTGACCTCATGATCTGCCTGCCTCGGCCTCTCAAAGTACTGAGATTACAAGCATGAGCCACCATATCAGCCTAAGTAATGTATATGACCTGGTGTATATATGTGTATATATATATATATATATATAAAACTCAAGAAAAGATTTAAAAAAATTTTTTAAACCAGCATTTAATCCCAAAGCACTGATATTTTCTCTTCTATTCCATTATTTAAAAATGCTTATTTTTGATTATCCATCAAATTGATTTCACACCCCTCACAAGGGTCATGACTTATATACTGAAAAACACAGGCTGGGCACGGGTGACTCACACCTGTAATCCCAGCACTTTGGGAGGCCAAGGCGGGCGGATCACAACGTCAGAAGATCGAGACCATCCTGGCTAACATGGTAAAATCCCATCTCTACTAAAAATGCAAAAAATTAGCCCCGCATGGTGGCGGGTGCCTGTAGTCTCAGCTACTCGGAGGCTGAGGCAGGAGAATAGTGTGAACCCGGGCAGTGGAGCTTGCAGTAAGCCAAGATCGTACCACTGCACTCCAGCCTGGGCAACAGAGCGAGACTCCGTTTCAAAACAAAACAAAAAAAAGATAGAGGTTTTTCATCGTAATTAAATTTCCACAAACCTCCCCAATCACAAGTATTATAAGTGGAAGTAAAAAATCACATTTTACAGATCTCGAATTTGTCTTCAACATTTAGTTCATCATCTTCAAAAAATAGCTCCCCTACTAAACTCATTAGCTATATGATCTATCCAAGCAGCAACAAGATGGCCAGGCCATGGCAATCCTCTTCCCATTTTCCCTCACCACTCAGGGCTCAACAGCATGGTGAAGCTCAGGTGGGGGTAGGGGATGGAGAGCACAACGGCTACTTTCCCCCAGTACAACATGGCATCTGAAGCTTGATAGGAGAGCAGAACTGGTGAGACCTGAGGGAAGGGTCCAGGGCCTGTATTCAGTCAGAATCACTGCTGGAAGAGGAGGAGGAATGCTTGCTATGCTTGTGCATCTTTTTATGAGCTTTCTTCATCTTCTTCAGTATCTTCTTGTCCACTATCACTGCTGGTCTGACCATGCCAGGAGCCAAAGGATTCACAGGAGGCATTCCAGGGGCAGGTGGTAGGTATGGAGGAGGGTAGGGACCCGAGCGTTGGCATCCTGGATACCCTGGCTGTGGCACAGGATGAGGGGCCAACCTGGGGGGAAAGCCGAATTGCCCTGTGGAGCTCCTGGGGGAGGAGGACAGGGACCCGGGGGAAAGGGTGGGTTGATAGGTGGTGGGTGGGCAGGATTGGAACCTACAGGGCACCCGATGTTGGGGGGATATGGATTTGGCCCTGGCTTCCCGGCATTGGGATTCCGCATGTTTAGGTGTGTCCTCCAGCCTTTCCACCACCGCCTGGGCTTGATGCATCCTCAAGAGCTTCTTAACTAGTTCCACCTCCTGTCTGCTCTCTCATCTTCATCATGCAAAAATTAGACTTTCCGTGTTACTTCTGCCTTACTCAAGTATTCAAAGTGGTCCACAGACTACTAGGCTCAGCTCTGAGACTAGAGGCCAGAGTAATGGTAAGGAATCCACTAAATGTGCAAACATTGCAGATAGCGTGTAAAATAGTTCAAACATACATATATGACAACTACTTATTTGCCAAAGTTATATATGTCACTTAATAAAATACAAATGCATTTCCAAGTATCATGGAATTTACAGGAACATTCTGACACCATCCTGAACAGGCCAACTTCATCGCCTACTGACACCCAACAGAAACCCTCCGCTCTTGACAAGGTAATCTTACCTACACACATAAAAGTTTCACACTAACCTTCAATCCTACTACTCTATTTCTCCTAGCCTGGAACACCCTTCCCTTCTCTCTACTTATGCAAATCTTACTTACCTGGCAAAGCACAATGGCTCATGCCTGTAATTCCAGCATTTGGGGAGGCCAAGGCAGGAAGACACTTGAGCCCAGGACTTCAAGACATCCTGGCCCGCCTCTTCTCTATAAAAAATAAATAATTAGCTGGGCATGGTGGCACATACTTGTAGTCCCAGTTACTTGGTGGAGCTGACGTGGTAAGATCGCCCGAGCCCAGGTGGCTTAGGCTGCAGCGAGCTATGATCATGCCACTGCACTCCAGCACAGGTGACACAGCGAGGCCGTGTCTCAAGCCACTAAAAACAGGCCTTACTTCACCATGAAGGCATGCCTTCACATCCCTTCCCTGTCTTCCTATAGATTTGTGATCTATAGATGTCATGTGACAGCATCATAAGAATAATTGTGTTGAATGTTCTGTTGTAATAAAATAAGATAAAAAAATAAGAGTACTTTGGAAGTTTCAAGGTTTTATTTTTTGAATAGCTTTAGGTAAACATCATGAATAGTAAAACTGGCTGCTACCTCAAATGAGATGTCAATTTTTAGGGATGCCCTATCTGGAAAACACTTTTTCAGGAAATGCAGACCTTGGAATATGTCACCCTCAGTAGTAGAGTCTTCAAAACAATCTTTTATTCAGAGCTGATTTATACATTAACAATGATTCATTTCTCTGTTTTTGAAGTTATATGAAGTTACCTGGCTTCAGTGTATATAAGCTGGAAAAATACCAAATACATAAAGGTGACAGAGTCAAATTAGACTGTTGGAGACATTTTAAATTATTTGAAAATACATTAACATTTTCTGCTACACACTCTTAAAGCTCTCCTTAGCCATCACTGGTGGTGGAACACACCTGTGTGAGCTACAGACAAACTTCTTAGGATCACTTCAAGTTTATAAGCTTTAAAATCATTTAAAGAACAATTCCAGGCCAACACGGAATCAAAGTAGTTTGTAGGCACAGTTTTTTCCTTAAAACAATATTTAAAGCCGTGAGTGAGATTCTGCAATTATAGAGGCAGTAGGAATAAAGAGAAAACAAAAACCAAAAATAAAGCCGTGAGAAATGTCAGGATGTAGTAGGGGGAAAAAACTTTAAAATGAGTGACCTCAGCTGTAACTAAGTAACTGCTAATATTTATTTAGCCCCCACTTCATATCCAAGCATTACTCTAAATCTTTTACGTGAATTATTTCGTTTAACCCACGCACCACCTATTAAGTAGATATTATTATTATCCCCATTTCACAGTTCAGACACTGAGGTTTTCTGAAAGTTACCAAGTCCAAGATCACAAGAAAACAGTAGGGCAGGGACTCACACACCACCTGCCACCTGGAAGTATTAAGTCCTTGCTCCTAACTACTACTTCACTGATCTGGCTTTATGACTTTGTAAGTCATATACCCACCTGGGCCTCAGTTTCTTCATCTGTATAAACAACGCAACGAATGCTACAGTACAGCTCCTTCCAGCTCTGCCTAGCGTCGTTATTATCAACCTTACAATCTACCTGAGCGTCAACAAGCCAGTGTCATCCTTTCTTTTAAGTGAATTGTACTCAAACAGCATTTACAATGCACCTACTAGGCGTACGGCCTTGTGCTGCGCGAGCGCCCAAGCCCAACTCCCTCACGGTCTCTGCTCCCGCCCCTGCGCCAGCAGGCTCCCTCTTTCCCCACAACTCTCCGAGACCTGCGGGGGTCCTTTTTCCCTCCGGACACACAGAAGCCTCCGCCCACCCCCAGCTCTGCTCCCTGGGCCCACTCACCCTTCTGGTGATCTCCGCGGCCAGGCGCCGCGGGACCCCGCGTCTCCGCTGCCCCGTCCCCCACGGGGGTCGTGTGGTGAGCGCCCGTCCGCGAGCGTTCGGCGACTCTGCCTTTCGCCATGGCAGCTGCAAGGAAGCTGAAAGAAGCGGTGCGGTGCCGCGCCCCCTAAACAACAAAATTCTATCGCAGGCTCCTTACTACGCCGAAGCGCCACGGCCAGATCCACTTCCGGTGCGACCGCCTCACCCGGGACGACCTCAACCTAGCTAGCACAGCAACGCCCTGCAAACACCCGCAGCGCCCGCCCCAGGCTAAACCCCGCCCCGTGCCGCCCCCGAGCCTCGCGCGCTCGTGCCGGCCCAGTAACCGCGAGACAAGTCAGGGTCCTGGACCGCCCCTTTCAGTGCCCCGCCCCACCTACGGGAAAGAGGTAGTCACATGGCGCCGGGGCGAGAGCATGCGCAGTCGCGGCACCCAAGTCACCCGGCTGCGGCTCACTGGCCCTGGCGTCCAAAGCTCAGCCTTAATTACCCGGAAGTGCGGTCCCCGGGACGTCAAACCTTTTGTCCAGGCCGCCGGAAGTGCCTGTGATTAGTCGGCATTTCGCGGCTGAGTCTGATTCAGCCCATTACGTCAGTTCCGCCGCTGCTGTCCTCAATTTGGAGGCGCCAGAGTGCTTGGTCTAAATATGGTGGAAAATACAAAGGCTGAGCAAAACCTGCCTGAGTTTCAGGAAACTAAGGCTCAGAGAGGGCTACGTAAAACCTGTGAAGGTCACAGGATGGCAAAAATGGGCTTAGACTCCAGGTTGTCTTGTTCCCAAAGCTAACCGCTTTGCATTACCTGCTGCCCCCCCCCCTTACTACTAAACCCAAGTCAGCTCTACATTTAGCTCATTCGTAAACTAAGCGGAAACATGCCTTTTACACACGTACTTTTTCTGCTTCTACCCCTCAGAGCACATTCAGCTTACTCACCGTGGTTACCTCTTGAAAGTAACTTGGAGGCCAGGCGTGGTGGTTCACGCCTGTAATTCCAGCACTTTGGGAGGCCAAGGCGGGTGGATCTTCTGAGGTGAAGAGTTGGAGACTGGCCTGGCCAACATGGTGAAACCCTGTCTCTACTAATAATACAAAAATTAGGCCAGGTGCAGTGGCTCATGCTTGTAATCCCAGCACTTTGGGAGGCCAAGGTGGGCAGATCACCTGAAGTTGGGAGTTCGAGACCAGCTTGGCCACGTCTCTACTAAAAATGCAAAAAATTGGCCAGGCGGCGTGATGGTTCAAGCCTGTAATCCCAGCACTTTGGGAGGCCAAGGTGGGCGGATCACCTGAAGTAAGGAGATCAGGACCAGCCTGGCCAACATGGTGAAACCATGTCTCCACTGAAAATACAAAAAAATTAGCCGGGCGTGGTGGTGGATGCCTGTAATCCCAGCTACTCAGGAGGCTGAGGTAGGAGAATCGCTTGAACCCGGGAGGCGGAGGTTGCAGTGAGCCGACATTGCGCCACTGCACTCCAGCCTGGGCAACAGAGTGGGACTCCGTCTCAAAAAAAAAAAAATACAGAAATTAGTCGGACATGGTGGTGCACACTACTCTGGAGGCTGAGGCAGAAGAATTGCTTAAACCCGGGAGGCAGAGGTTGCAGTGAGCCGAGATCGTGACTCTGCACTCCAGCCTGGCAACAGACCGAGACTCCATCTCAAAAAAAAAAAAAAAAAAAAAGAATAAAATACCTAGGAATACAGCTAACCAGGGTGGGAGGTGAAAGATCTCTACAATGAGAATTACAAAACACTGATGAAGGAAATTAGAAACAATACAAACAAATGGAAAAATATTCCATGCTCATGATCATGGACAGGAAGAATCAATATTGTTAAAATGGCCAAACTGTCCAAAGCAATTTACAGATTCAATACAGATTCAATGCTATATCTATCAAACAGCTAATGACATTTTTCTTTTTCTTTCTTTTCTTTTTTTTTTTTTTTTTTAGGTGGCGGGGGGATAGAGTCTCACTCTATTGTCCAGGCTGGAGTGCAGTGGCACAATCTTGGCTCACTGCAACCTCTGCCTCTCAGGCTCAAGAGATTCTCCTGCCTCAGCCTCCTGAGTAGCTAGGATTACAGGCACCCGCCACTGTTCCCAGCTAATTTTTGTATTTGTAGTAGAGACAGGGTTTCACCAGGTTGGCCAGCCTCCCAAAGGAGGCTGAAGCCGGCAGATCACTTAAGGTCGAAAGTTCAAAAATTCAAATTTTCACAGAATTAGAAAAATACAGGCAGGCACGGTGGCTCACACCTGTAATCCCAGCAATTTGGGAGGCCAAGGTGGGCAGATCACTTGAGGTCAACAGTTCGAAACCAGCCTGGCCAACATGGTGAAACCCTATCTCTACTAAAAATACAAAACAATTAACCAGGTGTGGTGGTGGGTGCCTGTAATCCCAGCTACTGGAGAGGCTGAGGCAGGAGAACTGATTGAACCTAGGAGGTGGAGGTTGCAGTGAGCTGAGATTGCACCACTGCACTCCAGCCTGGGGCGACACAGCGAGACTCCATCTCAAAAAAAAAGAAAAAGAAAAAGAAAAAGACATTCTACAGTTCATTTGTAACCAAAACAGAGCCCAAATAGCCAAAACAATCCAAAGCCAAAACAACTTCAAACCAAACAACAAGATTACAGTAACCAAGACAGCATGGTACTGGTACCATAGACCAATGGAATAGATTAGACACACAGACCAATGGAACAGATTAGAAAACCCAAAAATAAAGCCACACGCCTACAACCATCTGATCTTCAACAAAGCCAACAATAACAAGGAATGGGGAACGGACACCCTATTCCATAAATGGCGCTGGTATAACTAGCTAGACATAGACAGAAGATTGAAACTATATCCCTTCCTTACACCATATACAAAAATAAACTCAAGATAGATTAAAGACTGAAATGTAAAACCCCAAAACTATAAAAACTGAGAAGAAAACCTAGGAAATACCATTCTGGATGTGGACCCAGCAAAGACTTCATGATGTCGACTCCAAAAGCAATTGCAACAAAAACAAAAATTGACAAGTAGGACCTAATTAAACTAAAGAGCTGCACAGAAAAATCAATGATCAACAGAGTAAACAGAGAAGCTACAAACTGGGAGAAAATATTTGCAAACTATGCTTCTGACAGAAGTGTAATATTCAGAATCTATAAGAAACTTAAATCAACAAGCAAAACCCAAGGAAACCCATTAAATAATGGACAAGGGTTAATTTGTGCAGTGGTAATAGAAAAAAAAAGGAAAAAGATGGGCAAAGGACCTGAATAGACACTTCTCAGAAGAAGACATACATGTGTGGCTAGGCACCGTGGCTCATGCCTATAATCCCAGCACTTTGGGAGACTGAGGCAGGCAGATCACCTGAGGTCGGGAGTTCCAGACCAGCCTGGTCAACATGGCTAATCCCCAACTCTTAGTAAAGTACAAATATTAGTCAGATGTGGTGGCACATACCTGTAATCCCAGCTACTCAGGAGGCTGAGGCAAAAGAATCACTTGAACCTGGCAGGCGGAGGTTGCAGTGAGCCAAGATCATGCCACTGCATTCCAGACTGGGTGACAGAGGAAGACTCGTCTCAAAACAAAAACAAAAACAAAGCAAATCCCAGGTCGGGTGCAGTGACTCACACCTGTAATCTCAGCACTTTGGGAGGCTGAGGTGAGCAGATCATCTGAGGTCGGGAGTTTAACACCAGGCTGGCCAATATGGTGAAACACCATCTCTACTAAAAATACAAAAAACAGGCCGGGCGCGGTGGCTCACACCTGTAATCCCAGCACTTTGAGAGGCTAAGGCAGGCGGACCACGAGGTCAGAAGATCAAGACCATCCTGGCTAACATGGTGAAGTCCCGTCTCTACTAAAAATACAAAAAAAAAAAAAAAAAAAAAAATTAGCTGGGCATGGTGGCGGGTGCCTGTAGTCCCAGCTACCCGGGAGGCTGAGGTAGGAGAATGGCGTGAACCCAGGAAGTAGAGCTTGCAGTGAGCCGAGATTGCGCCACTGCACTCCAGCCTGGGTGACAGAGCAAGACTCCATCTCAAAAAAAAAAAAAAAAAAAATTAGCTGAGCATCATGGCGCATGCCTATAATCCCAGCTACTTGGTAGGCTGAGGCAGGAGAATCACTTGAACCCAGGAAGCGGAGGTTGTGGTGAGAGAAGATCAGTCCACTGCACTCCAGCCTGGGCGACAGGATGAGACTCCGTCAAAAAAAAAAAAAAAAAAAAAAAAAAATCCCAGCTAGATTTTTTGCGGAATTTGACAAACTGATCCTAAAATTCATATGAAATCCAGGGGACCCCGAATAGCCAAACCAATCTTTTTTTTTTTTTTTTCTTTTGAGATGGAGTTTCGCTCTTGTCTCCTAGGCTGGAGTACAGTGGCATGATCTCAGTCCACTGTAATCTCTGCCTCCTGGGTTCATACAATTCCCCTACCTTAGCCTCCCGGGTAGCTGGGATTACAGACGCCTACCATCACGCCCAACTAATTTTTGCATTTTTAGTAGAGACGGATTTCACCAGGTTGGCCAGGCTGGTCTCGAACCCCTGATCTCAGGTGATCCTCCCACCTCAGCCTCCCAAAGTGCTGGGATTACAGGCATGAGCGGCCGTGCCCAGCCTGTATTGTATTTTCTAAAGTTTTTGCAATTGGTTTGTGTTACCTTAATAATTAGAATAAAGCAATGAAAACAAAAAAGATTTTAAATGCTTGTAATGTTAGTGAGCATACAATTTTTGCTATGCTTCTTTAATTTAATATCATGTGGGGTTGGGCCTGTAATCCCAGCACTTTGGGAGGCCAAGGCGGGTGGATCACGAGGTCAGGAGTTTGAGACCAGCCTGACAGATATGGTGAAACCCCATCTCTACTAAAAATACAAAAAAATTAGTTGGATGTGGTGACGTGCACCTGTAATCCCAGCAACTCGGGAGGCTGAGACAGGAGAATTGCTTGAGGCTGGGAGGCAGAGGTTGCAGTGAGCCAAGATCGTACCATTGCACTCCAGCCTGGGTGACAGAGCAGACTCTATCTCAAAAAATATATATATATAATAATAATAATAATTTAGTATAATGTGAAGTCTTCTTACCTCTTCCTTGACTAGAGGAATTCAGTGAAAACAGCATCTTCTCCCTGGGCTGTGGGCAGGAAATGGAACCCCTAAGCTTTGCTTTGCAAGATGAGGAGACCTCAGGCTAAGGTGGGAATGGAAATAGTTTAGAAACAGAAAAAGAAGAGCAGTTTCTCAGATTGCCAAAGAAGGAGAATGTTGTCCTAAAAATAGATTAGAATGTGGTGGCTGGAGTCAGGCATTCTGAACTAAATGTTCAAGTCTTAGTATTCAGGAAGCTGTCAGACAAGGCAGACCAGAAGCCAATAGGATCAGGTTCCTGGAAACCAGCTAGTGAAGCTGGAAAGAAGAAGCCG